GCATTTAAGGACGTTCGCGCTATTTGTTTCTGCCCACCCTTACTGCGCACGCAAATTCACACGTCACGGCGCGGGCGCCAAGTAATAAAATGAACAATGATAGGGCAGATGGCCATTGCTGTAGCTTTGCCTGGATTTAACGATCTTGGACGTTAGTTGACCCCTTCTTTTTCTTTTGATAGATCATTTTCTCAATCGATTTTCTACGTTTAGCGAAAAAATGAAAAACTATTGATTAGAAGTTTGAATTTTTCGCAAAATGCACCATCGAACTTAACCCTCTTGAAGGGTCAAGTTTTGTGAAAACATTGGCAACATTTAGAATTATTTACGCAACAGACCCACTTCTACAAAACATGACTAAGATCGTTTGCCTCCGTTGACTCACCTTCAATATTTTTTACTATAAACCCCTGTAGACCATGCTGAATTACGTGCTCCAATTTTTNCTGGTCTTTGGATGGCAGCGAGGCTGGAGGTGGCCTTGTTTTGATGCAGACCTCACTGCTTTTGTTGTGTAAATCAAGTTGTTCTAATGCTAACTAGTTTGCATTTAAGGACGTTCGCGCTATTTGTTTCTGCCCACCCTTACTGCGCACGCAAATTCACACGTCACGGCGCGCGCGCCAAGTAATAAAATGAACAATGATAGGGCAGATGGCCATTGCTATAGCTTTGCCTGGATTTAACGATCTTGGACGTTAGTTGACCCCTATTTTTCTTTTGATAGATCATTTTCTCAAGCGATTTTCTACGTTTAGCGAAAAAATGAGGAAAAACTATTGATTAGAAGTTTGAATTTTTCGCAAAATGCACCATCGAACTTAACCCTCTTGAAGGGTTAAGTTTTGTGAAAACATTGGCAACATTTGGAATTACTTACGCAACAGACCCACTTCTACAAAACATGACTAAGATCGTTTGCCTCCGTTGACTCACCTTCAATATTTTTTACTATAAACCCCTGTAGACCATGCTGAATTACGTGCTCCAATTTTTCAAAATCAGGGTAGTTTTCCACACGCTTTGTCTCTGAAACGAAGTCGGTTACCCCCAATTATTTTGGCATTTCTGGTACAAGTAACTCATTATCTGACTGCAGTAAAAATTTAAAAGAAATCTATCGAGTGGCAAATTTTCGCGCGAACGTCTTTAAATGAGAAAAGCAGAGAGGTTTGTATCAAAGCAAGGTCACCTCCAGCCTCGTTTGCAATCATAGGCCAGGTAACTGAGCACACAACTGTAAAACGGCCTGTTACATTATTCGCTCCTAATTTCTATGAGGCAATCAATTACATTCTGCGGTGCTTTGAACATACATTAATAGGTCACATCAAGATCAAATACAGAACCCCTTCTACCCCTTTTAGCGATTTTCACTCGAGTGATTTTTTTTGTAAAATCTTTATTTTCTTGTTCCAGGACCTTCTGATGATTGTGTATTTATCAGGGCTTTGCAAGACGCAAATCTCACTGGGAGAAAAACTCGCCACTGTGCTATAGTGTTATGAATTACAGAATATACAATAAATTGTAAACAGTCTCAAGCTTTCTCAGCGTTTGTTCTTACAACGCCTGACGACTTTGGTTCGTAGTTTGAATCTAAAAGGAGGAGCTCATAAGGTACCCGTGTCTGAATAAGGTTTCCTAAGAAACAAACAAAGAGAGAACAACAAAGCAGCGTTCGATTTGAATTATGGAGTCATGAAGGTAGCAAAGAAACCCTTTTCTTTTGTGTTAGCACTCGAAAAAATCAATTGATATAAATATCATACACACCATACATGTGCAAGATCATACAACTTATACGACCTACAGTAAACACGAGCGCGCCCTTGGCAATTCAAAGATTGATCGCGAACTTTTAAATTTTATTTAATAATCCCCCCCACCCCACCACAAAAACAACAACAAGAAAACCCCGATATTGAGCAGGTCCCATAAAAGTTACGAAAGTTGGCTCACAATAAATCAATAGTCGTGCCTGCCAGTCTAAATTCGCTACTACGAGTGCACATCGGTGTGTGTCATTCGCAAATGCAAGTTTGCAGTACCCAAATACTACTTAATCGTATGCGAACATGGCGCGGCATTCCGTATCGCTGCAATAGAGTGTGTTCACGTGACGCCATCAATTTCTCAAATCCAAAACTAAAGAGCCACTAAAGGTTTTATCCTCATCAGGCATAAGAGGTACTAAATTTATATCAGTTTACAA